GCACCCCTGGAGAGTGAAAACAATTGCTTTTCCCTGGAGGAGAATTTAGTTCTCTGAGATTTCTTTGAATCTTAGCTTTCTGATGGATTTTAAAAACTATGATTTTGTGTATTAACCAGATTGCTTCAATAGTTTGGATTGGAAAAATAGTCTCTTATGACTTATGCATCCTAATCAAAACTAGAAGTCCAGAATCTTTTTTAATAAAAGCATTTCTTGCTAAAATCAAACTAAGCTGGTTTCTGTGGTTGGCACCTCGACTGATTTAGAAATTGGTAGCAGGAGTGGCTGCAGCACATGTTGTCAGGGAAACAGGGATCTGAAACTGACGAGTCGGTTTGCTTGGAGCCACAGGCGGAGGAAACCCAGCCCGTTCGCTGAACTAGACTCTGCAGAGGTCCAGGCCATGCCCTAGCAAAACGGTTAATTAATCACTTTCACAGAGGTTTCTATGAAGTCTTCCGGGAACACAACCTCGTGCGTTCATTTACACGCTGTCTGTTTCTGCTTCAACAGAGCCGAGTCCCTGTGAAGAGACCATACGCTGCAGGCCCAGCTCTTCACTCTCTGACCCATCAAGAAAGAGGCCCCGAAGGCTTGTTTCTGGGTCCACTGACCCGCAGGACAACATGAAAGCCTGAAGAGTGGCACAACCCAAAGCAAAGGAACATCTGACTAAGAGACTTGTGAGTTCAGCACCCCAGTCCACTAGCGGCCCAAACTCTCCGTGGTTGTTTCTGAAGTTCCTGAATATTCAGATGCAGAGATGTGCGTCACCCCGGGCAGGCCTGGCACGTGACACACGCCTGGTCTCCGGCTTACACGTCAGTGACGGAAACCCTGGCCCTGGCTCTGGTCATGGTGGCTGCAGAGGCCTCAGCTAGCCTCTTCTGGACACAGGGAGGGCACAGTGTTGGCAGTAAGAGTCTGAAAGCGGCACTGTGGTGGGGTCCCCGTGGGGGAGGCAGGGCAGCGTGTGAGAATTGGGTGAGGAGCATGTGCTGGTGTCGGCAGCCAAACGGATGGGCTAAAGTGGCCACTGGCCACTCCTTTTTGGCCACCAGGCGTCAGAACCCTTTTCCTGTATTTGGGGACGTCCTCCACTTCTGGGGCCTGGTGGATACAAAATCCCTGTGCCCCGGAGAAACTGACAACGCCCGCCTCTCTCCTGTCCAGCTTTCCTGGCGGCCAGTGTGTGGGTTACCAGCCTGCCAGGGACCTGTGTCCATTCATGGCACAAGGAAGCAAAGTGCTCTCGCCCTTGGCGGTGGACGTATCTGCAGCAGGGTCTAGGCTGGGACGTGGAGTCAGTGGAGGGGCCCGGGGCCAGCTGGGTCGGCACAGTGGTGCAGACTCCCACGTGCTGGCGTCTGTCCTCGGGAGGGCAAGCTGGGCCCAGGCTGCTCCCTGCTGCGGTCTCCTCCACTTGGTCCCCAAGCCCCTCCGTGCTTCTGGGAACAAACCGATGACGTCTTAATGAATGCCTTTCCATAATCGCCAAGGAAGGCTTCTGCTGCCTGCACATTAGGACTCTGACTGACATGTGGGTCACTGAGAAGACAGGCCCCACGCTATGGAAGCCGCAGCAGGAAGGAGTCTAAGGTAGAGAATGTCCTTCAGTGTGAAACTGCCCAGAGGGGAGTGAGAGATGCTCCAGGCTGGAGAAGACCCATCGATGAAGAGTATTCTGGGAAGTGAAAACAAACTCTGTATTTATCTCCGTGTAACTGCACAACCTCATGCATCGGACACGTTTCAGTGCAGTCACAACCACCTGCCGCCTGTGTGACCTGCGCTTCCCCAAAGACCAGGGACCACTCCCAGAGCAGTACCCACGGACGCCACGAAACACGGCCCTTAGAGTGCAGCCTGGAAGCTGCACGCCGCTGGGCCGAAGTCCACTCCTCGTTGGACAGCGTCATCCCTTGCGCACCTGCCTGCCTTCTCTGAGCAGTGGGCTCAGCGTCCAGTCAAGGGCCCCGAGTGAGGATGTCAGACAGCCCTGCTGGGAAAGCATCCTCAGGCAACAGCAAATCAGCTAAAGCAAACAGGCCGCTCGCTGACTCCACACACACTGGTAGTTCTGGTGTTCCACGAGGACACGGTGTCAACTTCTCAGTGCCTTTAAACACTTAGGTACAGGGTTTGGAATTTAGGGAGTATCTCAGCATTTTTATTTTTGATTTTTTTTACATCAAGGGATTAATGGTGATGATCCCTGGACAGATGGAATTATGGGGGCTATTTACTTACTGGCTAGTCTGTATTTTCTGATTTTTGTATCCTAAACTTTCCTGTGTGAAAAATTCAATCTACAAAAAATTCATAACTTTTCAGGTTATCTTATTTCTTTGTCTAAACATTCTTAAAAATTCAGTTTTAGTACATTTAACAAACACACGTCAGGCCCTGTAGAAATACAGCGGGAATATGAGACATCGATTTCTGTCCTCAGACCTCAAGCCGTGCCTGCTGTTTGTTTGGGACCATAATCACAAATTTTTAAATTTTGGCAGAATTAATAGTTTTGTAATTCTTTCACTTCACAGGGCACTGTGCCGAAATGCCACCCCAGAGAGGCCTTTCTTGGACGCCCTACCTAGTACCGCCTCCTGCGTGTCCAGCTCACTCTTTACCCTCTACTTCGTGTTACAAAGAATATTCACTTGCTCACTGAAAAAGCCACCTACACGTTTACTGTCCATCTTGTTGATTTACAAGGTCACGTTTCATGAGGGCCGCAACCGTGTCTTGAATTTATTTTGAGTAAAATTTGACTTAGGCTGACATGAGGCCACTCAAGGGACTGAACGTCCCCCGAGACGCGACGCGTGGGACTGTGGGGCGCCCCCACAGCTGCCGGGACGCTGCATCCGTGGCGCGCGCTGCTCCAGCCCTGCGTGGGAGGATGTGAGCCTGCACTCCTCTGGACGACGCACTTTAACTTACTTGATTTGTCTCTACTATCAGACACATTGATAGTTCCAGCTGTTTTCTTATATTGACCATTTGGAAAAAGAGAAACTGGCTGAAAATCAGTTGAGAATAAAGCACACAAGTACAAAAACTTGAAATATACAAACATACTTAAAGGTACTGCCAAGATCCCAAAACAGCAGCGTGACCCGTGACTGCAATGTCAGCTTCGGTCTGGGCCTCATATGATAAAACCGTTTTCTATAAAAAAATGTATTACTTCTCGTTCAGAATACAGAACTTCATTTACTCAACACACATTTATGAAGTACTTCCAAAGACGGGCCCTGCTGCAGGTGTTAAGGACGCAGTAACAGTGGAGTTTGTATTTGAGGCCACACACGTGGCAAACAACCATGTGCTGAGCTCATTCTTGGCTTCTTAGGCCTTCTTTTTGTGCCACTTCTATCTTTTCAATTATCTTAGTGTATTTTACTTTGCCTTCTTAATCTATTCCCTCTTTATAAACCTGAAAACATTTTGGACCAGGTTGATGGAAATAAATAAAAACCGTAAATAAAGAGGTAAATAACCAAAGTGCCCCACTCTAGTATCTACAGATTCTCCGCTTTGTGCAACAGTGTTGTAGGACCTGTCCTGCTGCCTGTACCAGCGGCCAAGCGCTGACTGTTGCGTTAACGTGGGGTCTGCTCCATGCCCTCTCCCTTCACCTGTCAACCTTCTGAGAGAGAGAGAAAACGCAGCAGCACCACTGTGGCCAAGAGCCCGTCTCTAATGGACCAGGGTTTCCCCACTGCTGGGAGGAGAAGCGAGTGCTGCATCACCCACGGCTGAATTCGCTTCAGAAGTGGATTTCTGCATTTCCATTTCTCCCCATGGAACAGACAGCTAGAAACGTTTAGGCAGAACAGATAAAAGATGAATGGGGGGAAAAGTCAGTATCTAAAGGACCAGTTTGGCGTGGTAAATCCAGTCCTTCAGATTACCTCTCGGAAAAAGGAATTCACTTCAACCAGAGAGCAAGGTTCAACTGACTCTTGAGAGGACCCCGATAGTTCACAAAGTTTTAAAAATGGAGCCAATTCAAAGAAAAGAAAGATAGCAGCAAGGCACAGCCAAAGAAAATCATAGAAACGCTTCCTATAGCTAATCTTTCTGAAAGGATCTCGTCAGACTGGTCCCATGGAGGCCCTCCCTCTGCCAAGGCCACCGAGTCCACGAGCCTGGGGCACTCCCGAGGTCCCCCGAGGAGACCTGCAAGCAGCATCCTTGGGCCCTAAACGCGCAGAGATGGGAGCTGGGAGCTGGGCGCTGGCTCATGTCGATCACCCTCCTCCAGCACCTGCTGTGAGTCAAGGTTTTGTCCTCCGAACACGCGTGAAGACAAAGCCTGCAGCTGAGCCCCGAGCGGGCTGTTCTGGGTGAAGCTGCGCAAAGGGCACCGAGGAGAGACTCCTACCGGGCTTTCCCTTCCGCGTGGCCTGGGTCCCATGTCAGGAGCTCAGAGCAGGAAAGAAACAGGGAAGATGGTCAGAAGGGGGCTAATGAAGAGGAGAAAGGAAGCACGTGTAACACAAGCTCTCTTGCAAGGGCAGCCTCGCTCACACGCACACCCTGGGAACGCAGCAGTAAGTCCCACGTCTACACTGCAGCCACAGCAGCAGACTCCTGAACCTGCTTAACGTCCTGGATTCCTCCTGCAGAGCCCACTGTCTGTACACAAAAGACCACAGGTTTCTCGCCACAGTGAGGAATTTGTCTAGTGTCTAGTCTTTAAAGGGCCTGACTTCAGAGGTCTGGACAAACTGCTACTTGTGTTCTAACACTTAGAATGTCCCAGGACAGAATAAGCTCGTGACTGCTAATTATGAATGACGGTTATTGACAAAAATACAGGCTGTAATTAAAAAAGAAAAGAAAAGAAAGTGTGCACCAATCACCTGCATTTGATTGAAAGCTATCCTCTCAATGAGGTGAGCACCAGTGGAGGAGCCATTTGGAGCCATGGGCCCGTCTGCAAAGGCCACTCTGACTCGAGCACGCCTGGCACCAAGGAGACTCACCTGCAAGCAAATGGCCAGGTTCACCCGACAGCCAAACGAGGTGCTAACGGCCCGTGGGTGGAGGCCCAGGTCCTTGAACAGCTTTGAGAAGGACTGGGTGAGTGCTATCCGGGGCCGCTCTTCCGCCACCACCACGCAGGTCCGCACGCGGGACAAGTCCAGTCCTCGGGCCTAGGAACAGTGACAGCAGGTCAGCCTTGCCAGCGCTGGGGTGCGACCAGCAGACCCGCACAGCAACAGAAACGCCACTCAGATACTCACTCCCAGGGCTCTCGTGTCCATGCCATCAACTGAAGGCTCTAGGACATCTGTGTAAACAAGCCCACCCACACTGGATTGTCAGGGATGCCGTTAAAAACTTGTTTTAAACAATACAAGAGCACGAGGAGGAGAAGGATGCAGGAAGGCAAGGTCCTGGATAGCGTCACTCAAGGACAGGGTTTGGGGAAGAGCGGAAGCAGCGGCAGACACCCGCGAGCACGGACGAACAGGAGCACGCGCCGGAGGGGGTGAGAACCCTGCTTTCAACACAGGAACGAGGAACTAAGGTGTCTGGCGCTCCTGAACACAGCTCTCTTTTCTTGTCCTGAGATGAAGGACACCTCAGTTCTGCACCAAATGCCATCAAGTGGGCAAAATGGCCAGACTCAGAGGAGGGGAGCTGAGTGCGTGAAGCACAGCACCGCCTGGGCGGCACCGAGGGAGAGTGAAGAGGCCGCGGCCTCCAGCTTCACGCAGGACCGTCGCCCGGCGGGGCGTCAGGCAGCCCGGAGCGGACGAGGGCTCCTGGGCTGAGCAAGGACCCAAGTTGAGGTAACGACGACACTGAAACTTGAAACAGGTATGAGCTCCTACGTGCACAGCTACACGGGAAAACTGAAGTCCCAGAGCACAAACGGTCCCTTACACACGAGTGCGTCTTGGGGCCGACGAGCCTGGGCTCCGGGATGGTGGACCTGGGGCCAGGGATCAAAATTTGGGTCCAAAGCTCAGCAAATGTAAGGACCCGGAAAGGGTGCTTCATTTCTCTGTGACCCAAGCTTCCTCATCTCTGAAGTGCACACAGCAGTGGTTTCTGTTTCAGAGAGCTGCTGTCACGTCTAAGTCAGTCAGCACGCGAAGTGCTCAGACATCTTAGTTCACTGGGTTCCTTACAGATGCACAGGCAGGGAGAGTTCATGAAACGTACTCAACCATTTCATAACATAATACAGGTGGACGTGAGTAATGATAATGTTTTATGTATTCCTTTCTCTGTATAAGTATGTAACTTCAACTAATTATACACTTACTCATGTAGCTTAATATCAAAGTTATCGTGCATTTTGCTTTCTTGTTCAAGCTCAATGCATTAGGTCTGGATAGGAGAACAAACCTCAGAAGAGATAAATACACTGCTTTGCTGACGGCATGTTCACAGATAATGTGTGCGTGTGTGTCAGACAGGTGACACGTACCTAATCACATGAACAGTGAACAGCTGGAATGCAAACCCGAGTGGGCTGTATGGTTACTTTCTCCTGGTTACTTGGACAAGAACCCCCTAATTTACCATGAAAATAAGTCTATCGAAGTGTGTTTGGTTTAAACGAGGGAAGTGAGATCGCTGTCGCACACGGGGACTACAGACTAAGAAACAAAGCGGGCGCTGCTCGCTGAGCCCGGCCTCCCAGTCGGGGTCTCCAAGGAGGATGCAATCAGCGGTGAATGCAGACCTACAGCTCGAGCCCAGCCTTGGAACAGGACCAACAGTGCTCAGGAACTGACTCCACCAACAAACGAAAAAGCAATCAGGGCCCTCTGAGGGGCTCCAGCAGAACTGAACATACCAAAACCAGACACTCAGACCTGTAACTCTGTGGCAGCGAGAAAGTATTCATGTTACAGAACGAGGTTTTCACGTGAAAACAATGTTGTAAACTTCAGGTGACAGAGGATCCCAGTCTGCTTCCCTGAAGGACCAAGTAACCTCAACACCCTGCTGACCCCCCGACACTGCACTTTCCCAGGATGCTGGCAAGTGCCCCGGGCACTCTGAGGGCTGCTTACCTTGAGGGATTCTGTCTGCGAGCCCAGCCCCTTGGTACAAAGTTCCATCACTGAATAGGAGCAAAACGTATCCCGGACCTTGTACTGACTCACGGCAAGAAGCCACAAGGCAGGGTTGGTCTCCAGCTCTGCAGGCGGGATGAGGATGGACTGGTGCCCAGAGTACACGCTGCAGAGAGAGACGCGAGGGCTTGTGAGGATGGAGATGGGACCAGCCTGCACTGTCCATCTGCAGGAGGGGGACAGTCACGCCAACTCTACTCTCAGGTATTTGTAAATACAGTGTGTTTACAAAAACATTCTGAAAAGCTCAAAAGACTATGGGGCTGTGACCTACAGCCGCCGCCACTCCGAGCACTCACTGAAACACCCCAGAGCTGCGATGCTGTGAGGCGTCTCTTAGAGCTGCTGCGTTTACAGACTGGGCTCTCTCCCAGTGGGAACCAGGACTGACTCTTGATAAAAAGGTCTGGAAGTTCAGAATAGGAGTCACACTAGGTGCTGCCTGGTTTTGTAAATAACGTTTTACTGGGATGTGGCCCTCTATTCCTTCAAACACCACCTGCGGCGGCTTCCCCACCAATGGACAGAGCTGACCGGTCCCAACAGAGAGCACGGAGCCCGAGCATTTATCAAACTGCCACATGAGGGAAAGCGTGCCCAACCCTGGTTCAGAAACCTGACTTCCAGAGTAAATAAAAGGAAACTAAAACAATCAGAAGAATTAGGTTTGTAATTCTACTTCAGAATGATTCAAACAGATCACCAAATGGAACTAAGGAAAACAAAATCATTCTTTAATCTTGCCTTTAGAGAGCACACTGAGAGAACCCAGCGGCTATGTATTTTGATCCACCACTAATTGATGAGGCAAGTGTGGTTCCAAAATAATGAAGTATTTGCCAAACTATATTCTTAATGGTTTTAATTGTGTATGGTTTACGACTACAAATCGACGTGAATAAAGGTCATGTGCTAATAACAGAATATCCTGCATAAGCCACCTTCTAAGATTTAAGTAAAGGGAACTTTCTAGCTATAAAAACTCTCATGGATGAAACAGCACATTAAGCCCCTTGACTGCTATGCTCTGACCCTAAAGCCAATTCTTCTCTAATAAGGCCAATCTCATTTTTTAAATTTCAAAATTGTTTATTAACAAGTGAATCCAACTGGTTAAAAGAAGGAATGAAATTAAGTTGGCTTACAAAATCTGCTTTAAACAGAGCCCTTAGAAGGAAAACTATCCTTCAGGGAATGTGACAAAAAGCATTTTGGGGCAAATTTCCATTTCTTTCTTTATTCCTCTGTTCCAAAGTTCTGTTTATTTTTGTCAGGAAGAAAGACAGCAAATGTTGGCTTTTTCTGTGATCTTTTCATAGAGCAACATTATTTGAAGACCAGGAGATGAGTCACTAAGGGAGGTGTCCATCCTCAAGTATTACTCTACTGCACGAGCGGCTTGTTTTTGGTCTTCGTTTTAAAAATCCTGCTGTGACAGGGAACTATACTCAGTATCTTGCAGTAGCTCACAGTGAAAAAGAATATGAAAAAAATGTATATTCATGTATGACTGAAGCACTGTGCTGTACACCAGAAACTGACACACATTGTAAACTGACTCTACTTCAATAAAAGAAAGATTTAAAAAATCCTATTGTGGTAAAATACACACAAGATTTACCATCTGACCATCTTAAACGTGTGCTTCAGTGGCGTTAATTATATTCACGATGTTGTGCAACCACCACGGTATTTACGTCCAGAACTTTGCATCATCACAAGCAGAAGTTCTGTGCCCATTAAAACAAACTCCCATCACCACACCCATCTCTGGAGACCTCCCATCTACTCTGCTTCCGAATTTGCCTATTCCGGATATTTAGGGGAAGCACAATCTCTGTCCTCTTCTGACTGGACCGTTTCACTCAGCGTGGTCTTCAAGGTTCTTCCACGTTGCAGCCTGTGTCAGAGTGTCCGTCCTCTCCAAGGCTGAGTGACGCCCCAAGGAGTGCAGACGCCACGTTTTGTTTATCCGTTCATTCCTCAGTGGACACCTGGGTGGCTTCCACCTTTTGGCCGTTGTGAATAACGCCATGAACATGAGTGCACAAGTATCTGTTTAAGTCCCTGTTTTTAATTCTTCGGGGTATATGCCCAAAAGATCATACAGTAATTCCACATTTAAGTTTTTGAGGAACTGCACCATTTTACATTCCTGCCGGCAATTACAAAGATCCCAGTCTCTCCACATCCTACCCGACCTGCCAGTTTCTGTTTCCTGAGTTTCGCCGTCCCAGCTGGGGTGACGTGGCTCCTCCCTGTGGGTCTGACTTGCACTCCCCTGAATGACCCGTGATGCTGAGCACCCTGTCGTGTGCTTATTGGCCACCTGTACGTTGTCTCCGGAGGGATCTCTAATCAACTCCTCCGCCCATTTAAAAATACAATTGGCTTTCATTGTATCACTGAGGAATCTTAAGGCATCTGTTGAAAACGAAGATTCAGAAGTGTAAAAATCCACCCGCAGCGGGTGGTTGGCCCTGAGAGCTGGTGCTGTCGTGCTGCTCTGGTCCTCCCTTGAGTCATTACTTGAAGTTGTGTAGGCTGCACACGCCGGGAATGCTCATTATTCTGCTCTCATCTGAAGGGACGACAGAGTAAGTCAAAGAAGATGTTGCCACGTCACTTCAACAACTCTGTGCTGGAGAGCATCCACCGCACGGGCTCACCGAGTCTGTTCAGGCGTCTCGGCACACTCACATGCCACGGGTACGGCAGAGCAACAGAAGCCCGTTTACACCGCTGTCTCCCCTGAAAGGAGAG